GACCTACAGAAAACATATGATCTCTGTAATTGCAAACAAAGGTTTCTGTACCAAATATTAAGTTCTGCTTTTCTGATGTATCAAATACTTATGTCATGCAATAAAATGCAAATTCATTACTTAAAAATCATACAATGTGATTTTCTGGATTTTTTGAAGTGTACCTATGATAAAAATGACAGACCTCTACATGCTTTGTAAGTACGAAAACCTGCAAAATCGGCAGTGTATCAAATACTTGTTCTCCCCACTGTATAGGGTATGCAACTTATTAAGCACATTTTTACTCCTGAACTTATTTAGGCTTGCCATAACAAAGGGGTTGAATACTTATTGAGTCAAGTCATTTGAGCTTTTCATTTTTTATTAATTTGTAAAACTTTTACTAAACATCATTCCACTTTGACATTATGTGGTATTGTGTGTATGCCAGTGACAAAACATCTAAATTGTATCCATTTTAAATTCAGGCTGTAACAACAAAATGTGGAAAAAGTAAAGGGGTGTGAATACTTTCTGAACGCACTGTACCACAAATGGTTCGAGCCATTCTTAGGGATTGCATAAGGGAGAGAGCACAGAGTGGAGATGTATTGAGTAAGATCATAAGGCGAAATGCATTTTCCAGAAAATCTAATTATTGGATTCGACTGGGGCCCAAGTCGAATTTCCTCTCTCAAAAATGTTATTATCACTTGCTAATCCTATTTTTAAAAAAAAAACTGTTTTAGACCACCTGGAAAGACAGTGTAGGACTACACAAAGCTTGAGTCACACTCACCATATGGAGTACCAGGTCCAAAATCTTTTGCTGCATCCTGCATGTAATGACCCAGCAGTTCTTCATTATTTGGTCTGGAGGGAACCGTTCTGTCAAGCTTCTCATACAGGAACTCCTCAATCCTGGAACCTGCAGATAGAACGAGGGGGCCTGCTTCAAGAGAGTACTGGCCAAAAATAGCTATCACAGAAGGACACTATGAAACCTAGTCTGAAAATGGAAATTGGTGGGAGAGGAGAACGCCAAAGCAAAGTAAGCTAATGCCCAGTATGAGAATGTACAGTATTGTAATTCAACATGGTGGGAATAAGGTGTTGAATGAAGTCGTCATGGAAATACATTATTATTATTCACTCAGATAATGAATAGAACTAGCCTTAGTAGTAGGGCTGACCCCATTTAGTCAACTGGTCGATTGTTTGGTCGATACGAGTTGTCAATTTATTCATTGTCTTTTGTTTGGAGCGCTCCTGTCAATCTTGAGTAAGGACACGCACCCGATTACGCATATAGAAGTAGGACTAGTCTACCTGGCCTGCGCGCAAACGTAGGCCTGCCTAGAAGTGTGCCCATTTGGGGATCTGACACTATTTCTGATTGTCTTAACTCACCATCGCCGTGGAACTTCTCAGCAAGTAAACAATGTCTGTTTTTACATCCATTGAGAATGACAACAGTTCCTCAACGTAGCCTATTTGAAAAATATTTTCAGCTCTCTCCATTTCGATTACATTTTAGTCATTTAGCAGACGCTCTTATCCAGAGCGACTTACAGTTAGTGAGTGCATACATTTTTCATACTGGCCCCCCCATGGGAATCGAACCCACAACCCTGGCGTTGCAAGTGCCATGCTCTACCAACTGAGCTACAGGTGGCTACATCTGTCACATGATTACCACTCAGCATGAAAGGGGGAAAAATGTCATGCTCTGATCAAGTTAATACAATAGTTGATACAATGTTTCAAGTTCCTTGCAGACAGGCCATGCGTAGCCAATGTGATTTATAGGATATTTATTTTCATCAGGATATTTTCTACCTGCAGGCTGCAATGTTTATATTTGTTGGCTTTATGTAGGCTATTTTTACATATTGGCAATATAAGTTACTTTTAGATTTGTATCATTTTCATTTAGAATTTTAATTAACCACATGACATTGATTTTGAGATATGAAGACTTTATTATAAATGAAATTAAACTGTTCCACAAAAATGTGCATATTAAAATCATAACTGGCACGCAGATCGGTAGGATAACATGGCACTCCAAATGGAAAAGGTTTGCCAACCGCTGGTGTAGCCTATTACCGGCAACTTCATGAGCTTAATGGCAGAATCTGCTAAGGCCAGCAGCCGCGGAAGGAGGGGGTTTGGGAACAGGTTTTTTCTTCTGGGCTTAACAGGTTTGATCTCTGGCTCCCTCTTTAATTTGTGTCTTATTTTTTAATCTCAGTGCTTAAAGCATCAGACAAGCTCATTAGTCTACATATAGTTGATTTTATTCAAACATTGGGTGTGTCTATATATGGAAAAATACTTGTTTTAAAATTTCGACCAATCGATTGGTTGAAAGAACAGATGACTCTCGGTCGACCAAGATTATTATTATTTTTGTCGGGGACAGCCCTACTTAGTAGAGAGACTAACATGGGAATTAATAGCTGCATGTTACCCACAAGCCTGCAGTGTTGAGTCAGTGTCTGGTGTGGCTAACGGACACAGCTGTTGAGCTGCTCACTGATAAGTACTACTTGTGACAGATGATAGGCTAATCAACAGGTTTTCACACAGACTGGTGCTTGAAAGCCCCCAATACTGCATAGAGCATCGTAACACTTGTCTGTTGCACTACAGACCACACGGATGAAAAGATTCCACGACAGAGCACTATAGGAGGTAGGGATACTCACCAGTGTGGTCAACTGTAGCATGGAGAATCAGAAAGTCACAGGTTAGCGCTACCTGCTCTCCATCACCATGTAACCTAACCACCATGTTTCACATTAAAAAAAACTGGTCTGAAATTGTTGAAATGGTTTTCAATTGATGTGTTTTTGGTTCATCTATCCTGTGTGTGTATGTGCTTGTGTGTTTGCATTAAGCAGGGATGGGTGGTGGGAGTTGTGGAGGACTCTGTCCTGATCAGTTCAGTTTGTATGCTGGGCCTTACTGGGGTTGGGCTGCAACAGAACCTCTGTCTGCCTGAAGATTTTCTCTGTCCAGTTTTTAGTGGAATCAGCACGGCTGAGCAGATTCTCAAAGTGGGCATCCAGCTCAGTCTTCTCTACCTGTCCAAACTTTTCCCCTGTGAACTTTGGCAAAAGAAACACAATAACAGCATCACCCTTCAGTTCTCTGTAAACAAGGCCTATTGCAGAGACTCAACATCAAGTGACTTTCCACTGTTTCTGTGTATCATTGTACTTTCACATGGTGTCCATGGAACTGCCCTATGCCATGCCACTAGAAGCTGCATCATTATCACTGGTTTTGGGGATGCACTTCATGTCATGGTCTCCTCATAGGCTACTGGAAACCATGCAACTAAATGCCAAGTCCTCATAGGCCATGAAACAATACACCTGCTAGTTTCCCCGTCTAATGTTTCACCAGTCTTTTCCCATTCCCAGTATCCTCTGCCAATGGTTCAAATACAAAGAGAAACTAAACTGAATGCAATTTCTATGGGCTGAGCACAGACATTCATTGCTTATGTGCAACAGTCATTAGGAAATCAGTCTGACTGTCATTCCCTGGGGACATTTTCATCATGACTTGTTACACACTGTCACAAGAATGAAATATATCTCTTGCGTAGGCATTTTTGGAGGGTCGTGGCACGAAAGGTCACGTCTGACCCCATAGATACACTGACTGTACCTGAAACCGAAAAGCAAAGAGTTCTTCGAAAACATGGCTAAATAGCTAACGTTAGTTAGCGGAAACATAGCTACCTAGCTATAGTATCAAGCTAGCAGTGCTAGTGGCTATAGCAGACGGCACAGAAACCTTCCTCTAATATCTAGCTTAAGGACTGGCAAATATGCTAAATCATATGTAATAATGCTTCCAGTTTTTACTGAAGCCAGACGCTAGCTAACGTCAGCTAGCTAGTTAGCGAACATTAGCTAGCTAGCGAGCTACAGTAGCATTTAGGTAGCTAGCTACAGTAACTTTAGCATTTAGTCAATTTATTGGAGACACGAAATACATTCAATTTAAAAACATAGTTAGGTACCTGTATAGCTCGAGTGAAAAAAATTCCTGCATCCGAAGCTAATTTCTTCACGTTGAAATCCATGTCAGTAGTATCTGGCTAAACCAATGGCTAGCTAGCTATATATATGATGAACACACACTGAGTCCACCGCATCAACCTAGCCACTGTATGTCCAGGCAGGGACATACGTTGGCCAGTCAGTGACAGCGCTAGCTCGGATCTGTCACTGCCAAGCAATGTGACCCTGGTATCGACACATCATCCTGGAATCATTACTTCAATAAATTATTGTCTACCCATATTACAATTTATGCAGTGTATGGTTTATTTTGCAGTGACATGTTTTTAATGATTGATTCTGTATTCACGACTTATTCCAAGAAAATGTAATACATATTCATGCATCATTTTTTTTATGAGAAACTTGCCACATAATTATTTGGGTGAAATTCCTGTTGGTAATTTTTTTATATAACACACAGAATACCATAATAATATGAACAAATTTAATAACATAAGTTAAATAACAATTATAAACTGGGTGGTTTGAGCCATGGATGCTGATTGGCTGACATACCACAGGTATGATACAAATATTTTTTTTACTGCTCTAATGAAATTGGTAACCAGTTTATAATAGCAATAAGGCACCTCGGGGGTTTGTGGTATATGGCCAATATACCATGGCTAAGAGCTGTGTCCAGGCACTCCACATTGAGTCGTGACTAAGAACAGCCCTTAGCTGTTGGTATATTGGTCATATATCACACCCCCTCAGGCCTTATTGCTTAATTAAATTGTGTGTGTAGTATCTGTATTTTGATATAGGCTACCACCTCTGCAACAGAAGCTATGTGGTACCACCTATTGTTCATACTGTTAACTACAAAAACTGAATAAAATGCCCAGTTAGATTTTTCAATTGACAGTCTCTTCTGTGTCTTTCAATGGGCTTTGTGTCACTAACAATGCATCTAGCCATCTCAGTGTCCCTGTTTTACTTGGTGTGGTCCTTTACCCACTGGCAGAACCTCTGGGAGTAGGTAGCTGGGCTGACAGTGGAGAAGGCTCTGCCAGGGAAGCGCAGACTCTTCCACAGGTTCTCCAGCCTTTTCTTCAAACCGTACACAGTAAAAATGTCTACAACACCCACAAAGTAGCGCAGCTCTGGCCCATCTATGACATGCACTGAGTTCTTGAAATTAGGCAGCAGCCTACGGTGATGAGCATGGAACTCCCAGAGTTCTGCATCTGTACTGTTTACCGAGGGGGTTGAATGGCCAGAGTGTTCCCCTGTGTCCTGGACGTGGTCTGACCCACTGTCTATTGTATCTGATGCCAGTCGAGAAGAGTCCCCCTCCAACAACAGAATAGTGTGGGTGTTCTTCCTCTGTGGGACTGTCTTGGGCCATGGACCTGCAGAGGAAAGACCATGTAAGAACTGAATAACAAAAGAGATAAAAATCAGCTTACATCAGGGTAAGAGTAAAAGCCCTGATTACCAGTGATCTTCTCACAGTGTTACCTTACATTAGCTCAGCAACAACTGCATGTCTGGAGTGTCCAATAAAGACTATTCCGTTACTTTTTTTTCATACTTTGTCATACAGTAGATTATTGTGCTCCACTGAACACCTACTTTGCAGTGCGCACAATAAGGTTACTAAAGGAGTGCTTCCTGTCCAGCTCGTCTTTGTGCAAGGGTTGATGGGCCAGCAGGATACTGTAGTCAAGCACATTGAGGCTACGGAGGAAGGCTGTGTCTATTTCAACCTGATCCACAAGCCAGGAGCGCTGCTGATCTGTCAACACATGATAAACATTTACTTCTTAGGAGAATGCATGGGTTTTTACCTTTGTGAATGGCACTTAATCTCACTTTTTGTTCAAGTCATAAGACACAAGGAAACAACACAACACAATAAAATATGACTTTCTCCATTCCGTCAGGATCTGGCAGATATAGGGCATACCAGGCTCTTACCTAGAATGATGTGCTTTCCTTCAAAGTTGTTATCCTTCAGAATCTTAACTGGGCTTCCAGTAGATGCAGGGTCAGTCCACCTACCCACCTCACAGCCCTTGATGTCATATCTAAGAGACAAAGCCAAAATTGTCGACACAATCCAGAAATATATATTTTTAACTACATAACTACAGCACAAACAATGTTTACCTGGTATCAATCCTCTCGTCCGGGTAAAACACACTCTGCATCACAATGAAATACTTCTGAGAAAGATTAAGAGAAGAGTTAAATACAGTTGTTTTTTACGGCTGTGTTTGAATATGTGCACTTCATTATAATCACCTTTGTTTCATTTGGTACTTGGATACTATGGAGACCTGGAATAAGAAACGAGTATGCACAGCTGACAAAATGACATGCAACAGGTGACATTCTACCCAATATTTCTCATGTGATATTTTCTCTCTCACCCAGGAACCTGACCATCAATGAGTGGGGGTATTTCTCCAAGTGATCCATATATGCCTTCAGGTTGGAAAGAAGAAACTTCACCTCCCGCTTATTTTGTGTCTTTAGGAAGAACCTCTTGTCATTCCTAAGGAGGTAAAAAATAAGGCATTTTCTGCATGTGCTACTATAGAGTTGGCTAGATTAGATGTGTTGTATGTACATTTATGATGTTTATGTTGTCCTTCAGTAGGCCTCACGTGAGGAAGAAGTCAGCCTTGCTCTTGGAGTTGCTCATGAACTGTAGATAGCAGCAGTCTGAAGAGAGGGACCTCTTGTACTCCTCCTCTTTTATGTCCAGGGAGTGCCGCAGGCTGGAAAACACCAGTCGTGCAAATGTCTGCATCTCATAGTCCTGCAGTGGGAGGCAACAGAGGACCATGAATCAAAACAGATATGTCCCACAAAACATTTACTAAAATAGACAGTAAGTTGTCAGGATTGGTTTTCCATGTGAATAGTGATTCATAGTGTTATTCATGTGAATATTGTTTAAATAGCACCTTGTGGACTTGAGTCTCCTCCGATTTGTAATGTTCAGCAGAAAGTTCATCCTGAGTGAAACAATATCAACCCACAATGAAAGGTTTCTTGTCACATGCAACAAAATAAGGAAAAACTACCAGTATTTAGCAGACGCTCTTATCCAGAGCGACTTACAGTTAATGCATTCATTTTAAGATACTACATTGCATTCGGAAAGTATTCAGACCCCTTCACTCTTTCCACATTGTTACATAACAGCCTTATTCTAGCATGGATTAAATAGTTTTCCCCCCCCTCAAGCAATCTACACACAATACCCCATATTGACAAAGCAAAAAACAGTTCAGACATTTTTGCAAATGTATTAAAATAAAATAAACATCAATATCACATTTACATAAGCATTCAGACCCTTTACAGAGTACTTTGTTGAAGCACCTTCGGCAGCGATTACAGCCTCGAGTCTTCTTGGGTATGACGCTACAAGCTTGGCGCACCTGTATTTGGGGAGTTTCTCCCATTCGTCGCTGCAGATCCTCTCAAGCTCTGTCAGGTTGGATGGGGAGTGTCGCTGCACAGGTACATTCAGGTCTCTCCAGAGACGTTAGATTGGGTTCAAGTCCGGGCTCTGGCTGGGCCACTCAAGGCCATTCAGAGACTTGTCCCGAAGCCACTCCTGCGTTGTCTTAGCTGTGTGCTTAGGGTCGTTGTCCTGTTGGAAGGTGAACCTTCGCCCCAGACTGAGGTCCTGCGCGCTCTGGAGCAGGTTTTCATCAAGGATCTCTCTGTACTTTGCTCCGTTCATCTTTCTCTCAATCCTGACTAGTCTCCCAATCCCTCGCGCTGAAAAACATTCCCACAGCATGATGCTGCCACCACCATGCTTCACCGTAGGGAGGGTATTGGCCAGGTGATCAGCGGTGCCTGGTTTCCTCCAGACGTGACACTTGGCATTCAGGCCAAAGAGTTCAATCTTGGTTTCATCAGATCAGAGAATCTTGTTTCTCATGATCTGAGAGTCTTTTAGGTGCCTTTTGGCAAACTCCAAGCAGGCTGTCACGTGCCTTTTACTGACAAGTGTTTTTTTCCGTCTGGCCACTCTGCCATAAAGGCCTGATTGGGGGAGTGCTGCAGAGATGGTTGTCCTTCTGGAAGGTTCTTCCATCTCCACAGAGGAACTCTGGAGCTCTGTCAGAGTGACCATTGGGTTCTTGGTCACCTCCCTGACCAAGGCCCTTCTCCCCCGATTGCTCAGTTTGGCCGGGCGGCCAGCTCTAGGAAGAGTCTTGGTGGTTCCAAACTTCTTCCATTTAAGAATGATGATGGCCACTGTGTTCTTGGGGACCTTCAATAATTTAGACATTTTTTGGTACCCTTCCCCAGATCTGTGCCTCGACACAATCCTGTCTCGGAGCTCTACGGACAATTCCTTCGACCTCATGGCTTGGTTTTTGCTCTGACATGCACTGTCCACTGTGGAACCTTATATAGACAGGTTTGTGCCTTTCCAAATCATGTCCAATCAATTGAATTTACCACAGGTGGACTCCAATCAAGTTGTAGAAACATCTCAAGGATGATCGATGGAAATAGGATGCACCTGAGCTCAATTTCGAGTCTCATAGCAAAGGTTCTGAATACTTATGTAAATAAGGTATCTGTTTTTTATTTGTAATAAATTTGCAAACATTTCTAAAAACCTGTTTTCGCTTTGTCATTATGGGGTATTGTGTGTAGATTGATGAGATTTGTTATTTTTTTGTAATCAATTTCAGAATAAGGCTGTAATGTAACCAAATGTGGAAAAAGTCAAGGGGCCTGAATACTTTCCGAATGCACTGTATGTGGGACAACCACATCTCAGTCATAGTAAGTAACCTTTTTCTCAAAGTATCTACCAATGTCAGTGCTAGTAGGGGGGGAAAGGTCAAGTGCGAGTGTTAGTTCACGAAAGGCAATCTTTTTTTAACTTTTCTAAATTGGGGGGTGCGGAGGGGGCGCTGTGGGATTATTTAAGAGACTCTTTGAAGAGGTACTTGCATTGTATTTCGAAATATACTGAACAAAAATATAAAAGCAACATGTAAAGTGTTGGTCCCATGTTTCATGAGCTGAAATAAAAATACACGCACAAAAAGCTTATTTCTCTCCAATTTTGAGCAGACATTTCTTTACATCCCTGTTAGTGAGCATTTATCGTTTGCCAAGATAATCCATCTACCTGACAGGTGTGGCATATCAAGAAGCTGATTAAACAGTATGATCATTACACAGGTGCACCTTGTGCTGGGGACAATAAAAGGCCACTGTAAAATGTGCAGTTTTGTCACACAACACAATGCCACAGATGTCTCAAGTTTTGAGGGAGCGTGCAATTGGCATGCTGACTGCAGGAATGTCCAACAGAGCTGTTGCCTGATAATTTAATGTTCATTTCTCTACCAACATAGTTTTAGAGAATTTGGCAGTAGATCCTACCGGCCTCACAACCGCAGACCACGTGTAACCACGCCAGCCCAGGACCTCCACATCCTGCTTCTTCACCTGCAGGACCGTCTGAGGAGTGGGAGGGGCGGGGTGCTGAGGGTTATTTCTGTCTGTAATAAAGCCCTTTTGTGGGAAAAACTCATTCTGATTGGCTGGGCCTGGCTCCCCAGTGGGTGGGCCTGACTCCCAGGTGGGTGGGCCTATGCCCTCCCATAGCGGCGCCCCTGCCCAGTCATGTGAAATCCATAGATTAGGGCCTAATGATTTATTTCAATTGACTGATTTCCTTCTATGAACTGTAACTCAGTAAAATCGTTGAAATTGATGCATGTTGCGTTTATATTTTTTGTTCAGTATAGATGTATGTACAGTACTTTTCTCAGAGGGGGGTCAATGCAGTAAGTTCCTAGGGTATAAAAACGTATTCTGTGTGACAGTTGAAATAGTGTGTATATTGTTGTGTAGTCTATAGTTTTACTGACAGGTCCTGGTGTGTCGATGCTGGTCTGGAGGGCAGCATGCAGCCCCTCTTTCATAAGACAGGTGAGGCTGTAGAATTCATGTTCCTGGTTGATTTCAAACAGTCCTAACATCCTCCAGCGCCTCCGCAGACCCCACCACCGCCTTGTTGTCCCAGAGCGACGCAGACTGTTCCTCTTCTCCATCTGACACACACCACATAAACCAAGCCGCAGCAAACATGGGTGGATCTACACTGAGTGCACAAAACACTAGGAACACGTTCCTAATATTGAGTTGTACCCCCTTTTTCCTTCAGAACAGCCTCCATTGGTCAAGGCATGGACTCTACAATGTGTCGAAAGCGTTCCACAGGGACTCCATGTTGACTCCAATGCTTCCCACAGTTGTGTCAAGTTGGCTGGATGTCCTTTGGGTGTTGGACCATTCTTGATACACACAGGAAACTGTTGAGCGTGAAAAAACCAGCAGCGTTGCAGTTCTTGACACACTCAAACCGATGTGCCTGGCACCTACTAGGATATCCCGTTCAAAGGCACTTAATTATTTTGTCTTGCCCATTCACCCTCTGAATGGCACACATACACATTCCATGTCTCAATTGTCTCAAGGCTACACTGATTGAAGTGGATTTAACAGGTGACATCAACAAGGGATCATAGCTTTCACCTGGATTGACCTGGTCAGTCTCATGGAAAGAGCAGGTGTTCCTAATGTTTTGTACACTCTGTATATGTATACTGTATAGCTCAATTTCAAGTTAGACAGGTGTTTTTAATTTGAAGAAATTGTAATTATATCTTGTGGCTAAGAAATGCATATTTTGGGGCATAACATGGACACATTTATATTAGTTACACTCAGACATTGTTTACTGTTTTAACTGGCATGAAAGCTGACAACCACTGTATTCACAAAAGTTCTTACCTTAACCTGGTTTCCTGATGTTGTCCTTTATCTTTAGATGCCTTGCTGTACCAAGAATATCTGAATTCAGTGAAAATCATTGGAGATGCATTTGAAGCCTAGTCATCTTCATATGCGATTGAATAGCATTTGGTTTAACCATATATACAAAAATAAGCATATTTCATGACAATGGTCTATCTTCTCTTACCTCTTTTTCTAGCCGAGAGCAGTACCACGGTAAGCAGATTGTCAGGGTGTGTCACACCTGCAGAGGCGTGTGCAGTGCAGTGAGGGCGTCAACTTCCTATTGTAGTGATGTACGCCGCGTTCAAAACAACTTGGAAATCTACAACTTTCCGACTTCAGTGCATTCAAGTCAACTGGGAACTCTGAAAAAAACTAGCTCCAACTGGGGAAAATGTTTTTGAACGGTCATCCAACTCGGAATTCCAAATCAGAAACTCTGGCATCTTTCTAGAGCTCCGACTTTCCGACCGGAAGATCACTGATGTCAGGATTTCACCTTGTTTTGACATAGTCCCCCACAGTGGACGTGTCATAATACCCCATAAAACCTAGTGGTCAAACACGGAAATGGTTCCAATCATCTTTCCACCATTCATTTTTCACATAGTGAATTTTACGAACACTTCAAATTAAGTATGTGTTTGGTCAAATCAAATTTTATTTGTCACATGGGCCGAATACAATCGGTGTAGTAGACCTTACCATGAAATGCTTACTTACAAGCCCTTAACCAACAATGCAGTTCAAGAAATAGAGTTAAGAAAATATGTAAATAGTATGGGTGGCCAATTGATTAATTGTTCAGCAGTCTTATAGCTTGGGGGGTAGAAGCTGTTAAGGAGCCTTTTGGACCTAGACTTGGTGCTCCGGTACCGCTTGCCATGCGGTAGCAGAGAGAAAAGTCTATGACTTGGGTGACTGGAGTCTTTGACAATTTTTTGGGCCTTCCTCTGACACAGCCTAGTATATAGGTCCTGGATGGCAGGAAGCTTGGCCCCAGTGATGTACTGGGCCGTACGCACTACCCTCTGTAGCGCCTTACGGTCGGATGCCTAGCAGTTGCCATACCAGGCGGTGATGCAACCGGTCAGGATACTCTTGATGGTGCAGCTGTATAACTTTTTGAGGATCTGGGGACCCATGCCAAATCATTTCAGTCTCCTGAGGGGGAAAATGTGTTGTCTTGCCCTCTTCACAACTGTCTTGGTATGTTTGGACCATGATAGTTTGTTGGTGATGTGGACACCAAGGAACTTGAAACTCTCGACCCGCTCCACTACAGCCCCATCGATGTTAATGGGGGCCTGTTCGGCCCTCCTTTTCCTGTAGTCCACGATCAGCTCCTTTGTCTTGCTCACATTGAGGGAGAGGTTGCTGTCCTGGCACCACACTGCCAGGTCTCTGACCTCCTCCCTATAGGCTGTCTCATCGTTGTTACGGATACAGATATCCTGTATGTGTATTTGTGTTTTTCCTCTCCTTCTGCCCTAATCACAGGTGTCCCTTGTGTTCCTGATTGGTGGTCGTTGGTGTGTCCCACCTGTCAGTCATCAGTTCATCTGCTGATTGCTGAGGTGGCCCAATCAGTGGACACTCCTCCTGAATGCACCACTTGTTTCTGGTTTTCATTACCTAATCACATCACACATCCCCTGGTTTAAAAACCCAGTCAGTTGTGATTTTCACCAATACTTTTTTTTTTTTTGGCTTTCTCACACATTAGGCTACACAGATGCAAACTTCTTGTCACAGACCTTTTTGATAGACAGACTACCTTTGTTCCTTCATACACCACATAGTCATAGCCCATACATCTCACTTTGTCCTGTTCCATGTGAGTATGTATTACTGTGTAGTCTTGTTTGCTATTGTCTAGTCACTCATTTGCTGTTTATTCCTTATTTTACCTAGCTATGTTTGTTTGTGCCTGGGGAAAAGGGGATTTTTAGCAAGTCGCCCTTGGGCATACACTACCCGTAGGAAAACGTTGTCTAAAAACACTAGTTAGACCTGAGCGGACCACCCACTGTATTTTTGTATAGTTAGTAGCAAGTTAGCGGTTCTTGAGGTAGGCAGGATCGGTTTAGGTTTTTAAAAATGTCTTTCATTCCTTGGGTCCAGCTCAGCCCCTTTCCCCAAAACATTTACCGTGTGTTTAAAATAAACGTTTTGTGTTTGACGGTAGGATTGGTTGTCAGTGTATTTTGTTCTCACTGTTCCGTTTCACTATTCTAATTTGCATAAGTTATGTTACAGGTTTCTTTACCGTCCACCCTAGACTTTTAAAGCCCCAGGGTTCGTAACAATTGTTGTCGGTAATAAGGCCTACCACTGTTGTGTCGTCAGCAAACTTAATGATGGTGTTGGAGTCGTGCTTGGCCATTCAGTCATGGGCGAACAGGGAGTACAGGAAGTGACTAAGCACGCACCCCTGAGGGGCCCCAGTGCTGAGGGTCAGCGTGGCAATGTGTTGTTGCCTACCTTTACCACCTGGGGGCGGCCCGTCAGGAAGTCCAGGATCCAGTTGCAGAGGGAGGTGTTTAGTCCCAGGGTCCTTAGCTTAGTGATGAGCTTTGAGGGCACTATGGTGTTGAACGCTAAGCTGTAGGGGTTACCTTGGCGTGACATTTTGATAACCGTGTAATTCTCTCTTGGACAAGGTGACTTATCAATATATTTGTCTCAATCTACTCAAAATATATATAACGCTAATTAGCAACAGAAGACTTCAGCAAGACTACAAATTCCTGCAGGAAGCTCCTACACATCTCTAGCCGACACTGTCAGCTACCATTCACCAGCACGATCAGAGACCTGTGCCCAATCCATGATGAATCATGTGCTGTATTGAAATTAATTGAATAGTGTTGAACTTATGTCCCTTTACTGTCTTAGCTAGCCACTGACTACACTTTAGCTAGTTAGCAGAGCAGTAGATCAAATATTTTTGTTTTACTTAGCCTAGATAATTGTTTGTACAGTATGTCAACTATGGTGTCTAGTTCAGACCTTATGGCATTTTTCAAGAGCATTAACAGGGGAGAAGACCACGATAAGTCTGGGCATGTGGAGAAGTGCAGCTATAGTGAGGGGCAATTTACCGGTTTGGTCAGGGCCAGCATGAGGGATAAAGTTTATCCTGTGTCGGTGAGTGTAGCTGTTAAGTTTGAGCATCTTAGCAATACTATGTGTTCTACACAGCTGTCAACATTCTACAAGGAAAGAGCCACTTAATCAATTATATTATCATTAACCAGATTACCCCGTATATCAGACTTAGATGAGTGATAACTCCGTTCTAGAATGTTGTCATAGATGAGAATGAATCAAAAAATCTAACATTCAGAATGATTGACTTTGTTTAGACATCCAGCCTGTATTGTAGTTGAATGACCAGAGCCAAATCTTCAAAGGCACAGTATTTGTTTATTCTCAGTGGTACATGCATTCACAGTCTTGATTTATAGGATCCTTCCCCGTGTATGATATGTCAAGTGCTAAAATCCCAAGTTATCAATTAAGTTTATGGAAAAACTGCACTTGTATTATATTTTACAGCTGTAATGTCATCAATCAAATCAAACTTTATTTATATAGCACATTTCTTAAAACAAATGCATTTCAAGGTGTTCAAAGTCATGCATTGAAAGGCATTTTGCACTTAACATCCTTCTCTTTGCATGTGTCTATAGGTGACCAGGTGATTCTCTCTACCACAGACGAATGCCCCCGTGAAGCTCATATGTGTAGCCATGCAGCTGCATTGGCTATTTTTGCGGTTCGCAATATCAGCTGTACGGATGTGGAATGCGAGTGGAGGAAGCCAGCCATGCCCAATGAGGTGCAGTCAGTGGAGGACCTGTACCCGGATGAAGACTACAAGCCTCTGTCCCTAGAGCCCACACAGGAGGATCTTCAGTGACTAAGGAACCTTCTCTGGGCAGGTTCAGTGGAATGGCATGTATCCTTGAACCTGAGCTAGAACAACAACTGTCATCCCTGTCTGTACCGGACATTGTAAAAAATAAAAAGGGCATCTCAGGGATGCAGGCATCCTGGCATGGCGCTGTCGGTGGAGCAGTAAGAGGCTATACAACCGGCAACAGTTGGACAGCGCACCAACCCAAACTGGCACACCATGAGGAGAGGGACGTTGATGGCCAGCAATTGTGGAGCAGTGGTTAGGGCCAAGCGCGTTACTCCATCGCTGCTAAAAAGGGTCCTCAGATCAGTCGTTGGATGGGGTGTC